AATGCAGTAACTACTGGTAGGGGTCTTTGTTACGGTACAAGGAGGTCGCTGCCTTAAACTCCCAGTTTAGGGTCAAAGCTTCAGGTTGAGGACTTAGGATTTCAATGCATTCAGTTTAAGCTCTTCCGGGCAGCAGTGGTCAATTTCGGATTTACGGGCAGGCCGTGGGCCCGGGGTCCATGCCCCCCAAGGCTTAATAGGGCTCCGCGACTAACCTTGTAGTCTAGCTGAGTGCTAAAGCCGTCATTTAAGACGTCAGAGGAATGGCCCGAATGGCTATGTGTTGGGGTCGTCTAAAATGCTACAGAACGAGTATTTATAGGTCTATGACCACAAATAGATTATGTGATTTGCTTCACAAGTCCTGTAGACAAAAACTGGCGAACTTTGATGGAGAGGGTTACCATCGTACGGCTTGTGGTTGAAGGGGCGCTCCTGGGCACTTGCGAAATACAAAGCCTGGAAGTGGAATCTAGAGTAGGGGTCGAACAATCAAATGGCGAGAGTATCTCAATATACTTGTGTTATTTTATACCCAGATATGAAAACCGGATATTGGTGTATTTTCCAAACCTTCATGTTGTCTATATTTGTTCGCCAAAGTCGGCATTTGAGCGAATGTCAAAAATAAGTAACAGAATTTAGAGCGTTGGTAATTCAAACATGGTTCCTTTACAAAGATCCGTGAGGTTATCGGGGTCTTTGTGCAAGGGCCCATATCCTTCACTTATGATTTATGTATATTTATGTATATGGTGTTTAAGAGCTGCCAAGGATTGTTGTCACCAACTATCCAGACCTCTATAAAAACATGTTGAGAACCTTGGTAAGCTTCAAAGTTACAGGGACGCTGAAGAAAATTTGTGCCTTGGTTACAGCAGGCTTGTTTTCTGTGTTGTTATCGGCTATCGGGATTTTCGTACAAAGTGTGTAGCAATACACAAAGACTCTACAAAAACATTGATTACCAAGTATGATAACTTCTATGCTATGATGTAATGTTGGTGCATTTGCAGGTGAAACGAGCGCACTCCCAAGTATTTCACAGCCAACATGCACACCGGGTGGCCAGCTGTTCCGAACATTTTGCTGAGCATCCTAACCCCCGACCTTTAATCAGCAACCATCACCTGCAGGACGTTGAGATAGGTCATTTGGCATCAAAACCACTGGAGGGTTAACCCGTGTCGTATCTCAAAACATACGCGGGAGTGTGGCGGAAACAGAATATTGAGAGGTAGAAACAGGGATCGCGGACAAATTGTGCACAACATTTTGGCGGGGACGCGATTTCCGGAGGCGCAATTATTACCGGTTTGGCTTCCGAGGTGGGTTTTGGAGAGGTGGGGGTAGCATATATATATATACATATACACGAAAGAAGTATACCACAATACAGTATGTCGGTATATAATAGGATGTATGAAAATATTAGTACAGTTTGATATAACATGATATAAATCAATGTAACACATAGTATGATCAGTGTAATGAGTTGCAGTGGGTGTATGTTTGCGTGTATCTATATGTATAATATTATAATACAGTGTTAAATCTTGGACTCTGTTCTGGTGTAATCTAGCCACAATCTATAATGCAATATGTCAAACATCTTACCACGTCATACCAGATAACGGGTTACAACAAAATACAAAAAAGTATATCAGAACAGTACAGAACACAATGAACAAAGGATATAATTTAGCCCACCGTAGTACAATACATTGCAATATAATCTAAGAGTATAATACAAAGCAACGTATTATCGAGCATTCGAGTACCTTTGTGCGTAACATGTAATGTTATGACTAATCATACCATACTGTACTGTACTATACAAACCTATAATTTGTTTTAAACTATATAACGTACTACAATATCTTCAAAAATAGCATGAACAATACTAGATTTTCGGGTAAAGGAGGTGGCCGCTATGTTATGCAGTTTGCAATCTGTCGGCATGCAGCCTAGATTCAGCATGCAGCCTAGATTCAGCATACGGAAAGTAACAAAACCAGCAAGGCTTAGCAATAGGATTTGAAGGAACTTCCTTGCTCTTGCTGTTTTGATGGTGGCCTGCTTTTGCATTCTCAGTGGTCCTGCGTCTTGTTTGGGCCTGTAACTCCTAAACGCATGTTTGCCCTGCAACGCCCTTTTCTTAGTCGGCTTTGTCGGGTATGTCCACAAGTCGCGAGGTACATGCGCGCCTTGGAGGGTCCGCTAAGCCCAGCGATGGTCAAGAAATTTGCGTGGCCAGCCAGCAATCGTCAGCGGTTTTCATGATCTGCATCATCTGGACGTTCCGCCGAGATAGTGTTGCAAGTACACGTTGCCTAGGCTGAGGATGACGTCAGAGCAACCACTGTAGCGTGGATACCTACCACTATTTTGTCGCCTGTTTGTTCTGACGCGCAAACGACGTTTCGTGCTCCCGTTTGTCCGCCCGCCAGCTTATGGCCAGAGTATGGTACATATCGTGCTCGTAGCATTCGGGAGCTCTAGGACTTCAGGAGCAGTCAGCAGTCATAGCCAGCTGCTCTTTCTAAGCCTATGCAGATCTTCCCACACCATACGTACTCGAGGCAGATTTTCAGAAAAACATGTGGAACGTGCAAGACATGAGTCAGGTGGCAGCTCCTGCGCGGAGTGGAATTTTGCCATGCAAGCAGGATCTTGCATCGTGATCTCAAGCCTCAGGCGCGAATCTCCTTCAGTCCGATCCGAAAATTGATCTCTGCACAGTCAGGGTTGATCGTTACGGTCGTTCCTGGAGTCCAAGTCTGGCGAAGCAAGCAAAACCACATAAGGGAGCTTTAGTCACCATAGTCAGTGTCCGTGAATACATGTCGCGGGTTTTTAATGTGAATCTCTGGGCCTCAGCGCGGTTATGTCTGTCTAGATGGTGCATGATTTTTCAGAATTAGAAGAGCACCGTTGAAGCCATTGTTTGGGGAGCTGAATGCTAGGCCCGCAGTACAAGCCCGCAGTTCCGCCAGGTAATTTCTCACATGAGTGAAAAATCTTAGCAGGATAACGTTAATGCATAGGACTTGTGGCATAGGGTTTGATTCAATGCTTGCTGGGTTCGATGGTTTACTCGAGCGCCCGCGAAACAGCCACCCGACGCACATGCGAGGAACTGCGGCAAGAGCAGTGGATTTGCATGTGTTCGTGCCCGTATGCGGTCCCAATCTGTGACACAAAGGTGACGCAAATGTGCATCATGTTCTCAGCATTGTCATGATCATTGCTTTTGGTCTTGCACAAAGCTGGAGAGCTTGACAACCACTTCTCGTCTTGGCAGAACCTCTTGATCGACCAGCGATTGCGGTTGAAAATCGCTGACTTTGGCTTAGTCAGGAGCTAAGTCGAAAGGCCTTTCATCATAACCATACATGTTCCTGCTGTTTTCTTGTTTTACTGGCTTTGTAAGATTCGTGACCGGTGGCTGTCTCGTGCTGTGCCTGAATAGCATGGCAGATTGTGTGCGGTGGACCAGATGCGACTGCAATTGAGGTAGCATTTCGAATTTACGGCAGTCTGCAGTTTGGTTTGAACCGAGGCACGACCATTTCGGGTGCCCCTTGGAGAGTGCCCTCCGCTTTAAGCATGGGTTGGCCAATTGGCCAGGGTTCAGCATTCGTCACCGGCAGCAGCAGGAGGAGGCGTAGCAGCAGCAGGAGCAGGAGCAGGAGCAGGGGCAGTGGCAGGCAGTGGCAGTAGTAGTAGTAGTAGTAGTAGCAGCAGCAGCAGCAGCAGCAGCTCATAGTAGATTATGGGTCGGAGTGATTCGGCGAGGAGTGGGAGTTTCGGAAGGCAGTAGGAGCAGGATCAGGAGGAGCGATCGCGGTAGGAGTACAAGGAGGAGAAGGAGGAGGAGGCGGAGGTGCAGGCGCAGGTGCAGTAGGTCGTGGGGCTAGGCTCGCCTTTTTTGCGGAGGCATATAGGCTTGTGGCTGTAGGCGTGCAGGTGTAAATACTCGGCACGTAGGCATATAGCTGTACGTACCCATACATGGCAGCGTATATAACTGTATAATCGGAGCGTAGCAGTAACTGAGTCGGAGTAGGAGTAGAAGTAAGAGTGAGTGAATATGTGCATGATAGTTGCACAGTGAGTACTTGTCGACGCCAGGAGCAGGAGCACGAGTACTAGTACTAGCACTGGAACTAGTACTTGTAAACTAGTAACTAGTATACTCGTATACTAGAACTAGTACGAGTACCACTGCTAGTACTATTGCTGGGATACTAGCACTAACATACTAAGACTAGTCGTACTAGTTCTTGAACTGATCTCGCAGTAGCAGTAGCATTAGTAGTAGCAGCAGTGCAGCAGCGGTAGTGGTAGTTGTAGTGAGAGTTTGGTGGTACTGGCGCTGGTGCGGGTTCTGGTCGTGGTACTGGTATCAGTACTGAATTGACTGGCACTAGTAGGAGTAGCAGCAGAAGAAGTAGCAGGAGGATGAACAGCAGCCGCTGCTGCTCCATCAGTTTTGTTAAAGCAATGGAGTAGACGTGGTTTTTCGAGTGCGCCTTATATATGGCAGTGGCATAAAGTTGCGGGGTGGTACCCGGGTGCCCTCTTTGAAGATTGAGTTTCTTCAGGGTTCCAAGAAGTGCCTTCGGTTCAGACATCAAGATCTTCAGGTCAAGTGCTTCACGTGACGTTGGCAATCGGTTATCTTGGCTCGTGCTCAGTGGTCGTAGAGGCATTACATGTCACGAATGCACCAGTATGTACCGAGGCCATCCAAGCAAGCTACTGCAGGATACAGATGAAACGTTCTCGGTTCTTGACACCACACGACGCAAGATCTAGTATACAGGTCATGGCAAACATGCGCCTAATGCCGCTTGAGGCACCGATACTCCTCAGTTCACGGGGTACTGTATCTGCCAGAAGGTAAACCCATCAAAACCTAGTGATTTGACACCGCAAAACCCTCCACGGCTTGTTTGTTGTAGTTGGGTTTAGTGTTGCGAGTGCCTGGCGTCAAAATGCGACGCAAGGGCAACCGCTATAATGGCGGGCGCACCCATGAGAATGGCAAAGGTGCCCACACGGTCGACAGGGCTGTGGCTTCATAGGAGTCAGAGTTTCAAAGCATCGATGTAAGATAAGGGACCGGAGCAGTGAAGACAAAGACTGTCGTTGACCTAGCACGAGTAGGATTGTCTGTCACAGGGGCTCGCGGATCTAGCCCTCAGCTAGCAGAATCTCGTCACTTGCTATCCCTTGATTTTTGATGAATTCTGGCACGAAGCTCGAGTGCATCCTGAACAGACCCCATAGCCGCCAGGACGTGTCTGGTCGCAAGTGGAGCACGGCTCGCAGGAGGCGGGGCATCTGTGAAATGACCGGATGTTCGCATTCTTGCGAATGCCCTGCCCGTTAGAAGGTTATAACATTATAGTTTTATAGTTTCGGCAGTGCTACCTGCAACTGTTGCAGAAACAGCTAGCAGCAGCAAACGCTTCAAACTCCACCAGGGTGGAATGACGCCTGGAACAGTCGCATTTTGAATAGCGGTTCGAGACCTCGGCAATCCTGTCATCCTTGCCAAACAAGCTGAAGCATCTAAGATGTACAGGAGGAGCTCGCCCCGCCAGCAGCTACTCCGCTTATGCAGGCGGGGACTTTCCTGACCTGATCATTCAGAGACCCTTGCAAGCGGTAGCAGAGCAGCCTGAATAGCCCCAGTTGGTACTGCAGAGGATCACTTGTCGAAGGCAGGAAGGCAGCTCTACATGGGGCTCAGAGCATGGCATAGCATGGCCTATGAGGCAACCGTGGGGCCTGCCGGTTTTTTGGCCGTCGTCGGTCGTCTGTCGATGACCAGCGCTGCTGTGTAAGGGAAACATACATGTTCGGGTTGCCTCTCTCGAAAATTAGAATGTTCTTCGATAGGTTGTCTTAGCAGTGTTTCGATGGAGAAAAGAGCACGCTGAGTTTTCGCTGCTTCCGTGCGGACATCATGTGTCCATCCTCGATTTGCGATGCACCGGCGGAAAGCCTCACTCGGTCCCCGGCATTGAGGCATTCAAGCTGTCCATGATTAACGCCATAAAAACCACCCTATGCACCCACACCTCTGCTACAGCGCATGCTGCATGCCTCTTACAAAGGCGATCTATGAGCCCTGCGTTCAGCGGGTTCAAGATCTAGTCGGGTCGCAAAGGCACGAAACCTTGGTGGCAACTAGGCGCACGGAGCACCGAACTGTTCAACCTTGGTGGCGGCACGGTGCGCTTGAAGTGGACGTGGTAGACATCCATGCAAATGTATGAAACGTGAGATCACACCTGAGCGATGGCCTTATGGCCCAGTGAAGAAAAGAGCATGACTAACGAAACATGTTGTTCTCGCCACCACGCGGTGGCGTCCTTTGATGCACTCAAATGCCCGGTCAGGTTTTGGGGTCGTTGTGCAAGCTTGGCAGAATGTCTTGAGTCTTGAGCACTTGTTTAGCCAGTAAGTCAAAGCCACTAAGTCAATTCGAGCAACGGGTCGTTTGCTTTGGCGTTCGGGCTTGCCGCTGCCTCGGTCAAGGGCCAATATCGGCACATCGCCGGAGAAAGGTCATCGGTCATAGATATCTCGAGCGATCTTTGGCCAACAAGATCCAAACACAAGCTTTCAAGCTTCCGAGGGCAAGGGCTGAAACCGAAAGGCACTCAACGGCTGTTGCAGGCTGCAGGAGCCCAAGATTTGGCCCAAGATGCTGTTATACGGTTTTGGGCAGCTCCATGTGGGCAGGGTGCCACAACAGAAATCGGCTCAACATCTGGACGACGATATGCGGGCGTGCCATCGCTCAACCACTTCGCAGGACTTATGTCGCCCACGCCCATGCTGTGCAGCTGCGTCCTTGTCGTTCACAAGGGAGTCGCCGTGCGGGCCTTTGTCAGCCACGCAAGCCCGAGCTACACGTCGAGTGCAAGCAAGCCAACAACAACGTGACGTAGCACCTGGGCGACTCCCGCCTAAAGTGATGGTCTCTCTCGAGTCATGCCTGGGTGGCAATCACAGCTTCAGGTCATCAACTATTTGACTCCTTGCATGGCCTGCTCACATGTGCTTTACTTCCAGACTGTTTCTCCCGGAATAACGGCAACAGGTACGAGGCATGCTTCTCGCAGCATGAACTCAGGTCGTCAAGACACGACGGGTGCGTAGCCACCGTTTCGCACCGTCAGCCTCCGATGCGGGGCTCCACCTCCAGTTGTTGGTGTTCCGACGGCTTCATGTCCACGTACCGGACAATGTCGCGCCGTCCTCTAGCGGCTTCAGGTGGATTGCAAACACTTCAGCCACCGAGCGACACACCTGGGGATGTACCAGCCACAATATGCCACCGTTTGCGTGGCACCAGGCAGATCCAGGCAGCTCGCCTGTCAACCTTAATGTTGCTGTTCCTTTGGACATATGCGAGCCGCTGTTCCTGTAGATGGGCAACATCTTCATTGGCTACGAAAGATGCCGCGTCGCATTCAGTATCTTCCGACTTGGAGTGGCAACAGAACACAGGGAATCAGGGGCATGCAGCATCGGGGCAAAATATAGACGTCAAGGCGATGGTCTGTGTTGATGCGGCAGCGGCACCGGATCTTTCAGTGGCGACGGCAGATCCAGGCCTCCGCCTGTTTGTGTATCCTTTTCTCATGTCCACTGTGACACAGTGCACTAAAACATACTAGAATACACAAACGCTGTAGAATGTTGTAGAACCTAGCTAAATCTCACGAACAGGCTGGGGAGGAGATGCACGGGAGGTTCGCAGACCCCACCCGCAGCCACCAAAACAGACCCTGCCCAGGCTCCCCCCAACATTCCCCAGCCACCCGGGGTTTCGGTCTGCCAAGCAGGGCTCGGGAGGGTGTCACGGGAAGTCACACGCACGCTCTCCACCGCCGCCAATCCAGACCCCGACCCGCCAACCCATTCCCCGCCCCATCCCCTGTTGTTGGCGGGGTAGCGAAGCGGTTTCTGGGAAGCACCCAGAGCGGGTCAAAGCTGGACCTGGAGATGTTGGATGTGAGCGGTTTTGTTGTAAACCTGGGCGGCCCGGCTTTCGAGGTTAAGGATGTCGTGTCGTGCGATGTTCAGGTTTGCATGCTGTGATTTCGTAGTTTGGGTCGCAGGCTCGGATTGCGGCTATCGGGTTGGGTTGGAATCGATGCCCGGCTTTCGAGGTTAAGGATGTCGTGTCGTGCGATGTTCAGGTTTGCATGCTGTGATTTCGTAGTTTGGGGTCGCAGGCTCGGATTGCGGCTATCGGGTTGGGTTGGAATCGATGCCATCGTCGACGTCGGAATTAGAGAATGTTTGACATACGGTATGTTGCATTCCATGATCCATTAAAAACTCGTCAACATCCGATGCAAGGTCTGTGTAGGGCTAGGATCTGGAAAGGGTCGTGTAACCCCTGGGCAGCCAACCATAACAGACCCCGGAAAAGGTCTCATATGGTGGTTGCCAACAGACCCCTCTACAAACTGCCATGGTCCAGGGTCTGGGAGTCTCTGTTGCCTCTTTTACTGTGACCTGGCGATGCTGCGACGGCTTTCAGGCCTTGAGTCTCATGGCATACAGAGTAGAAATGACTGCCCGGGATTGGCAGCGGAGCGGTTAGGTCCACGAGAGCCCGCTTAGTCCATGGATCCTTGGGACGAGTACAATGCTCGACGATCCAAGCGGCAATGCTACGATCGAGGATGGACGCTACCCGCGGATTGGAAAGCTTGGCCCTATCCAGGATGGCCTGGAATTAAGATGTTTTCAATCGAGTCTGGGCCACTTCGTGAGGAAGCGAGCCGAGGCGGAGCCCTGATAGGAACGCCTCTGAGAGCTTTGCTGGCCTGGTGGAGTGAGCGGCGAACAGCCGTTCCTCTTTCCGCAAGAGCGGCCATCTACTTTTCCGAGTATGCCCTGCCCGAGCGGGTGTCCATCGATGTTCGCGCCCACTCCGCCTACGACACCAGCACCTGCTTCCTCTCTCCCGGGTCGTGCCCTTCGAGTTTCGCAGGTCCAAGACCTACTACCTTGGATGACGCGAGTGCGAATGCAAAGTCCAGCAAGATTGCGGGCTGAATCCGTTTGCGACAAGCCGGACTGACGGAGTACCAGCGCGAGCTGCTGGCCATGTGGGACTACAACACCCTTCTCTCATTCGAGCAGGTAGCGGCCTTGTTGCGGCCGCTGGACAGGCCAGAAATGATTGGGCAGCCGATGCGGGGCGAAGCTGAGAGATCAGAGGAAGCAAAGAGGGGCTATACCAAAGCCGTCAAAGCCTCGCTCGAATGGCCCAGAGATCGAGCGATCGTGGTGGGAGAGGCCGGAATGGCACAGGGGACAATGCGAAGATCTTATGGCCCGGACAAGGTGCTTCAACTGCCAAGAACTTGGACTTGGATATCTGGTGCGAGACTGCCCGCTCAAAGGGGCAGGAAAGGGAGCGAAGAAGTCTTTCATCGTTTGCCCAGGCGGTGGCCACACGACCGTCCTCTTTCCTCTCCTGCAAGCGCCTTCCGAGCGATGCGTTGGAGCGAGCGGTCAGTGTTGAAGCCTTCCCTACGAGTTCGAGAACCGCCATGGAGAAGTACTCCACCATCTTCGCCGCAGTCAAGGTGCGAGATTTCGAAGTGATGGTTGACGCAGCCGCTGAAGATGGCGTCATAGGGGATCGGCGAACTTGAGAAGTTTCAGCTGAGGCCCATCGAGAATAAGACGACCTTAATGCCCTTCCGTGTGCAGGCATCGGCAGCGCGGCTACGATCCTGAAGACTGTGGTTTTGCCTACGTCAACTGCTGGGCAACAAGGAGTTCTTCGAATGCAGTGCTGAAGAATTGGAGTCGTTCGCGACCCCACCCCTCCTCCCGATCTCCTATCTGGAATCTGGAGGCTGTGAAGGCAATCGTAGATCTGTCCACCGAATAGGGGCAGAGCCCCTTTCGTGAAGTTGACATGGAGCTCGCAGACCTCGACCCGAGCAAGTACGCCCCGTCTCTTCCAGACCTCGAAGCTATTCCTGAGGCCCCTGAAGGTCCCCAGCTTGAGGTGCCGGAGAACTTGGAGGAGGTGTCAACGAGAATGCCTTCGGCCCATTTCCAGGAGACTGAGCTCATCTACGCGAACCATATACGGGTGGATGACGCTTCTCACGGAACTGTGCGATAGGTCCGGTTTGTTCAGGATCTTCTCGCCGTACCCGTTTGTGCAGCCCCCTCCCGCTTGGCCGAATGCTCCAGGACGCTCTAAGTACGGCGAGGTGGTCAGCGATTTTCACGACAAGACGGATGCGGCGAAGTGCTGGTTCAACAGATTGCATGGGCGAAGCGAACCTCGCCCAGCTGCCGGAGCCCAAAAGTTCGTGAACCACGACTCGGCCGCCTTCTTCAGCGTCGCAACAACACCGAAGGTTCCACTTGGCAAAAAAGAAGGAGTCGCTCGGTCGGGTGACTTTCACGAGGTTTGGCCAGGCGGAGACGAAAATCTTCCGACAGTCTCGCGACAAGGAGATCAAGTCTTTATTGGAGTCAGGGGACTCTCGATATTTGGAGGAGAGCAGGCGTTTTCGGAGGGAGCACCCGGGTCATGTGCTGACTTCTCGCTACGTGGACCGTTGGAAGCCCACCGAGGCCTTCGCTGTGCTCCCTTTGCTCCCGATACCTTGGACGCAAACAACCCTGGCGAGCACCGTGCCAAAGTGGCCCCTAAAAGCCGGTGGGATGGCGGGATCCTCATGTACGAGATTGAGCGATCCGCGCCAACGCCGAGATCTACTTCGATCTGCTTGTTCTTGCAGCTGGTTGCCTCTCATGCGTATGCCAAAGACGCGAAGACAGCCTATTCTTCAAGCCCGACCCACAACAAGGCAGCAGAAGTGCAACATGCCGTCTGCCGAGGCGTTGTCCCGCTATACCACCCAGACCAGTGTCTGGGCCAGGCACGGGGGAGGAGTCATTGCTGGAAATTCTCGTGAAGGAGCTGCGGTACAGAGTTTCGTCGTACGATCAATGCGTGCTGAGGTTGGACTCCAAGAAGAGGGGCCCTCTAAAACCAGAGGCATCATCGTGATCGAGGTGGGCGACCTCCTGGAGGCTGGTGACCTGGAGACCGGGCCAAGCTGAAGTGGTTGGAGGGTCGCCTAAAGTTCAGCAAGATCGTGAAGCTGCGAGAACACCCTGAAGGAACTGCTTTCGCTGGACGGCGAATCATGCAGTTGAAGGACGGCACGATTCAGTACACCATGGCCGACTACATCGCGAACAGGCTGAAGGCGATTCCGATCACGCGGAAGATCCTCAAAAAGAATGCCTCCCAGACCGCACGTACTGCGGACGAGAGACACAGCTTCGAGGGCGATCTCATGCATTTTGTGGATCGCTCGGGAAGGACGTCCAGATGTGGCCGCTGCAGCCAACATTTTTATCTGGCAGGTTCCCGGTTCCCGAACCCCACCATGAACGAAGTCGTCGAGACTAATGAGGTCATCGCCCACTTGAAGGCGCAGCACGTCGTTCTCAAGATCTTCCCGATGCCAGGTGAGACATCTGGTGGTATCAGACTCGGCCTACGACCTCACAGGAAAGACCAACCCGCAACACGGGTGGCTTCAAGGCATCCCGGAGCTGAATGCAGGCTCTAATGCTTTGACTTCCAGGCGATTGCGACGAAAGGCTGGCAACGCGTTGTTGTGCGAATCCATTGCGCTGTCAACAGCTTTGGGTGCCCTGGAAAAGCAAGTGTGCATGTGGGGGAGCTTTTGCAAATCACACTACTCGCCACGAAATAACCTGGAGCCCGCCGATGAAGAGCTGGGACTGCGCAGCGGATCCACAGGCATTGCCGATGAAAGCAGTGAGTATCGGGATCCTTATTCCGTGGCCATCGTGGATTGTGGATGCCAAGAGTCTCTTTGACGGGGCGAGCTCAGAACAGGCACAAGCTGAAGATGACCAGAGCGCACTGGAGATTGCTATATTTCCAGAGTCGCTGGCGAAAACCCGTGGCAGAATGAGGTGGATACCGCGCAACCGGAACCCGGCGGATGCTCTCACCAAGCTTGCTGGAGCACACATGCAGCACATGATGCAACGCGTAGTAATCAGCTTCAGATAGAAGAGGAAGCTGATGTTCTGCAGCAAGGCACGCAGAGCACGTACAGAATGAAAGCCAAGGCATGAGACTTCAAGCCTGTGAAAATTCAGGGGATCGAGAAACAGTTCAGAGTCTGAGAGTTTTTTTGCCTTTTTTACTGTGACCTGGCGACGCTGCGACGGCTTTCAGGCCTTGAGTCTCATGGCATGCAGAGTAGAAATGACTGCCCATCCGTCTCGGAATGTTCAGCCTTCAACTTTGCCCGAGCTGGGAGAGTAATGTAGAGGCTCGTTTCGCGAAGGCTGGAAGGTAGTTACAAACGGAAAGCAAAGCATGCTCCCACGGGCTTTGTGTTTTTAACCCCTCGTCGCTGCACTCGATCGTCTGTTGATGATTAGCACTGATTGCTTAATGGTGATAAACTCGCCATCCGTAACTTGCTCGACGATGTAGTAAATGAAGTAGTGCTGCGTTGCACATCCCACGATGTGCATGCAGATCTTTGTTCAAACGATTACAATGATGATTCAGTCTGCCTCGCTGCTCGCATGCAAAAAAAGGTGTTGATTGCATTCCGTGTGTTGGGAGTTTGCTTGACCATCGGTGTAGAAGGATTTGGTCGAGCATGTGTTTTTTGGCGCATAGAAAATCTAGGCCACCGGCAGCCATAAAAATAGGCAGAAAGGCACTTGCAACGTGGTTTTGTCCCGGCAGCAGTAGGAGCAGATTCGGTGGCGATGTTTTCAGTTGTTCGTGGTAGCGATGTATCCGGCATCATCTTGCATAACTACAAGATGCAAGTCCGTGGTGTGTTCAGCACAAACAGCAGTGCTGCTAAACAGATAACTCTGAAAAGGCAGGGAAGGCTGTTCTGAGAGCGGCAAGCGTGCGAAAATGGGCATGAAATACATGCGCATTTTTTGCGAGAGTTCAAAATCCGCTGGAGCGAATAAACTGTGTGTGCAAGGAAGCCATGACATGACCTCGCAGAGAGGACTTTGTCACAGATACACCAAGAATCGTGACCCACAAATAATATGCTGAGCCAACTGTGCATCAGGCGGCGGAACCAGCGCCGCTTGTGGCCGCCAAGACAGTTCGCTTGGGGAAGGCACAACCCGGGCTAGAATATTGACTTAGTTTGTTGGTATGACCGGCAAAAATTGTGAGTGGTGCAAAGCACGTTTTTTCGAATAATTCCTCACATTGCCCGATGGTTCTCCGGCGTGGGATGGAGCCATATGGACATTAGGCAGCTGGTGACGCAAAGGACAGAAGTTCAAGAGTCGATGTGCAGTTGATTTTCACCGGGTCAGAGTCAAGCTTCAAGATTTGGCCACATTTTGTGAGCAGGGCTAGCGGCACAAAGTGCAGCGGCGCCAGGATCGCGAAGGGAAAACAACGCTTACGGAGTGGTACAATCGGCCTGACCACGAAATGAGCTACTTCATTGGCTTCTTGGAAGCACTGCTACATTACATTAAAAAAGTTTCATGAACCTTGCTCGATCATGGGTTTGACATAAGTTCCATCAAGAGATCACAAATGTACATGTGGGTGATTTGGCTGTGTGGGCCTAGCTCCAACGTTCTAGGTCCTAGGCGGTTACTGCCAGGAAGACCCGGCTCTTAGAAGGGTTATGATCGAGTTCGCCCAGATGGTCGACAGACTTAAGCACAGCCCGCGGCTGTCAAAGCACCCGCACCCGATGGACAGTGGAGATCTGGCAGATAACAAATTGCTGTGAAGTTGCGAGGCGACGGCGATGCTGACAGTGAGGTGTGGTCTTGGGTTCCGGAACTGAAACAACAGACAGCATCGTTCTACGCCAATTTGTTCATTGATGAATTGATCTGAAAGTTGCGTGGTGGCTGCAAGTCATACTGCGCCTTTGGCCACTCGGCTGGATAGAAGCTTCGATCCAGTGCATGCCAACCATGGGACGAACTTCTAGTCTGTTCAGATTTTCCGCCATGGGGACTGGATCTCTTCGCATAGTAATCACCATGACCACGCCGTCCAAAGCGTCTTTGCTTATCATTCGGGTGCTGCTCGTTGCTTTTGGGGGCGTCGGACTTTAGAATTCCGGAGCCCTGGCGGGGCACAAGCATGGATTCATTGCTTCGTGTCTGCTGTTGTTTGAACCCTGCCTTGTTGTCCGCAGACGAAGTGCAACTGCGTCAAAGGGGTGTCGTGGTAGGTTCAGGAGATCTCCGAGGTGAGGGTAGGCCGGAGGATAGGATGGGCCCTCGTGTTGCACCCGATCCATGAGGAGGCTGAGAGGCGGACCACTGTCGACCTGAGCGTAGCTGTCCGAGGACCATAGGGGTCGGCCGTGTTTTCAGATTCGGAGTGGAAGGCTTCGAGGTGCATGAGGTTTGAGCAGAGCATTTTGAGGCTGGCAACGTCAGGCCCCGAATGGTGCACGACTCCACCGACCTGCATGCAGATGTGAGGCAAAAAGATGTGCCGATTCATGGATGCAACAGTCGAAGCGACTTTGGCTTGAAGCCCTGGAAAGAGATTTTTCGTGCAGGACTGTGCTCGGAGTACTTCGAGTGCCACGTCTCGCCTCTTTTGCGATCTTTGCAGAACACAACGGAGCAGCATCAGCTCAGGTTGCAGGCAAAGCGGGGATGCGCTGCGGGTCAAGAATGGTTCAATGCTTCTTGAGCTTCACCCCCCCAAAACGGGGGTCTCCATGTCTACTGGAGTCATTCACCAGATTTGCGGCGGGCCGAAGGTGCTCAAATCCTGGAGACATTTTCTACAGTTCTTCAGAGAGTCATGGGATGTTTCCGCGGCCAGAGTATTGAATCAACTGTCCATCGACTGGTCCAATGCGGAGCAATGGATTCTAACCATGTTCTCTTCAATTCACGGTCCATGCTCCTGAAACAGTCCCGCCGCACCCAAATAATCATGGCATGCAAGGAGTTGCAGGACCTCGTTGGGAAGGCCCGTTTGCAAGCCCCAAGCTCTGTGACGCATAGTCATAGTCACTCCAAGGTAAGGGTCACTAGAGATGCATCTTTTGCAGGGGAATGACCGACCAGACATGAGAGACTCCCCGTTCAGAAACTCAGCGCATGTCTCTCCTAGCTTCCTTCTGTTTGGTCTGAACAGAAGCTTGCAGCTGGAAGTTGTTTACAGGACCTGCGCGAGACTGTCGCCGTAGAGGTAGCTCGGCGGAACGAGCAGAATGCTGTAAGCACTCTGGTGCGGCTGCAGGACCTCCACAGCTGATTAGGGGGGCTTTGGCATGGACAACCCCGAAGTGAACGTCACTTGCAGATCGTAGTGAGACTGGTTACGTAAAGCTATATCTTTGCACAATGTCAGGAGATCTCCGCATCACTGCAGAGGAAGGCAGACTCTGGCAGCGTTCCTACGTTGGCGCAGTGGAAGGCATGAAGAGGTTGTCGCGAGTGGGGTCTGGGCTGGACTGGCCTGGGCTGGTTGCATGGGTGGCTCTTGTCTGCTGGCTGCTGGGCATTGAATTCGCTTGTTTCGGAAGATCCGAGTCTGCAGGCCCTCAGTTCCAAGATTGACCAGAAGGTCGTGGTGGACCAGGCAGCTTGCAGGGCTCAACTCCGAATACTTGTTGCAAAGGCTGAGGCATACCGGATAGGTGCTCTAAAGCCTTCCGAAGAAAGGATCGAAAGCGACGGAGATGGAAAGAGAGGGAGAGGGGTCTGCCGCCCTTCGAAACCCACGGAAAGAACGAAGGGAGAGAGATAGAGAGAGTGAGAAAGGGAGGTGTTTGTGTGTGTATGTATACATGTATGTATGTATGTATGTATGTATGTATGTATGAGGTAGGTAGGTAGGTAGGTAGGTAGGCAGGCAGGCAGGCAGGCAGGGAGGGAGGTAGGTAGGTAGGTAGGTAGGTAGGTAGCCAAGTAGGCAGGTAAGTAGGCAGGCAGGCAGGTGTATGTAAATATTACATATACTGTACAGATCTGCCTATCCATCCATCCATCCATCCATCTATAGATACATACATACATACATACATACATACATACATATGGACTATACAGTTGTATGTTAAACCTATGCAAATTCAGAGTGAGTTTGGAGTTTAGGGTCTATGGCGAAGTGCTTTTGACTGCCACCAACACTACTGAGCCCACAGAGCGAAACCCTGAACCCCTAATTTGAGCCGGGCACGGCGCAGGCGAGGATTCGAACCGCATTGGAGCTTGGGGTGTACTTGGAGGTTCATGGGTAGTTATAAATGGGGTTATAAGTAGGGTAGCTATACATGTTAGGGGACTTATAACCCCACTTATAACTACCCCTAAACCCTAAACCCTAAATATAGAACCCCTTTAGAGGAACCCTTAAAGGAACCCCATAACCCCACTTATAACTCTCAATGAACCTCCAAGTAGGGTTGAGGGACGGAGGTTTTGAGAAGTTCGGCTGCAGGGTTTCGGCTTTGGGGGTTAGGACCCAGGCTCTACAGGTTTGGCGTTTAGGGTTTTGGGTTTGGGGCCTTTTTTTAAGGGTTTAGGGTTTAGGGTGGTGTTGGGTTTTGGGTTTTTTTTTTAAGGGTTTAGGGTTTAGGGTCTACGGGGTTGAAGATGTGTGGCTGATGGTTTCGGCTTTTTGGACTTCAAGCGGGCTTGGGGCCTTCGGATGCTTAGCACTAGTGACCTGTTGTCAAGGCCAGAGGGATCGGGGAGGGGACAGATAAACTCACACTGGGTTTAGGGTTTAGGGTTTTGGGTTTAGGGTTTAGGGTTTAGGGTTCTTGTTCCGGAACTTATTCCATGTCATCATAATAGGGGGTCAATCGCACATACTGTGCCTTCCCTGTTACTCTGGTAACACAAGTTACTGAGTAACCTCGTATGGTCAGCGGCAGCGAGAACTAGCCCCACGCCTACAACCTGGCACCCGTGAGCCCTAAACTCCAAAATCAAACCTCAGCTCCCAACCATCCCATTCCCCTTCCCCAAAAGAAAGCACGGGAGCGAGGATGCCCCTGGTACTGCGAGCGATAGGGGGGAGGCGGACTGCGTCAGGGAGACTTTCAAGAACTTGCCGTCGACACCTCAGGGCCGAGGTTTCCTTTCAGGGCTTCTCCAAGGGTTCCCTTTAAGGGCCTCTAGGGTTTAGGGTTTAGGGATTTTAGGGTTTGTAGGGTTTAGGGTTCCCTTTAAGGGCTTAGGCCTTATTTTGGGGGGTTCCCGTAGCCGGGTTCCTTTTTTAAAGGTTCCTTTTTAGGGTGTTCGGTTTTAGGGCTTGCTGTAGGGTTGAAGCTTCAGGGTTTAGGTCTGATGTAGGGGCCTTAGGCCGTGAGAAACTACAAGAAGGTGGTACTACTGTTGATGATATAAATCCTGCATTACCTTAGGGACCCTAAACTATGGGAATTACGGTAGATTCCTTATTACTGGTAATGCAGGATGTAGATCATCAGCCACATTACCGTACGATTCCGAACTCTCTTGTTTTGGGTCTACGGTTCAGGGCTTAGGAGGGAAGTTTAAGGATCTGCAGGGGCTTAGCTTCGTTTACAGAGGGATTTTGGCGAAGATTCCATGGCTCAGGGGAGTAGGGCCTTGAGGGTTGAGGTTTGTCAGGGGTTTTGGGGTTTAGGGTTTTGGGTTTGGGGTTTAGCAACTGAAGTC